TTATTGTATGCTATTAAAGTTATTTTTTTAAAGATTTATTTATTTATTATATATGCCGGTTCTGCCTGCATGTATGCCTGCACTCCACACTAGAAGAGGGCACCAGATCTCATTATAGTTGGTTATGAGCCACCATATCGTTGCTGGGAATTGAACTCAGGACCTCTGGAAGAGCAGCAGTGCTCTTAACCTCTGAGCCACCTCTCCAGCCCTATTCAAGCCATTTTTAAGTTAGAAAATCAGTGCAAGAATATAAAAACTAATGACTTGCTTTACATAAATGTTAAATTATTATTCAACAGACAAAAGCTACAGAAAATGAATCTACATCTGAGTTCTTTGGCTATTTTCTAAAAATTCAGCAGGTGTTGAAAGAACATGGGCATTCTCATACAATACTCAAATACCTCAGTAAGTAAAAGTATTTCCAGAATAAAATATTCTGTGATCTTTATTAAATTTTCACATTTAACCATTATTATATTTTCGAAAAAGTTGAAAGTAAAATGGTTTTTTGTTTTGTTTTTTGTTGTTGTTATTGTTTTTTGTTTTTTGTTGGTTTTTTTTTTTTTTTTTTCCGAGACAGAGTTTCTCTGTGTAGCTTTGCGCCTTTCCTGGATCTCGCTCTGTAGACCAGGCTGGCCTTGAACTCACAAAGATCCTCCTGGCTCTGCCTCCCAAAATTAAAGGTGTGTGCCACCACCACAAGCTGTAAAATGGTTTTATGCACTATTCATTGTCCAGATTTTCCAAGATAGTTCCTTTTTGTTTGGAAAATATTCTTTTATTTTTGTTTTTAGAGACAGAGTTTCTCTGTGTAACAGCCCTGGCTGTCCTAGGACTCCCTCTGTAGAACAGGCTGACCTCAAACTCACAGAGATCCACCTGCCTCTGCCACCACCCAGCTGGCAAATATTTTTGAGTTCTTATGAGATTATTCCAAGAACTTACAGAGTAGAAAAACCTAACTGTCTATTGGCTGTCTTAGGATGCTTACAGTCTAACTGGAAAGATAATTTTATGTGACTAACAGTCAGAACCATGCACACATGTGTGAAGAGATGCTTTGAGAATTTGTATGTACACCGCAGGCAACAGACACCCAGCAGCATGCCCAAACCCACAGGTAGCACTTACACCTATATAGAGATAGTGATTCCACGATGCTTGACCTGGCACCAGAGATGGCTACTAGCAACCAAGAAGCAAGTAGCCCATGCAGCACTGAGATGCTGAATAGAATTAATTCACAGTCCACAGAGGACAGAGATTACATCCTGCCATTCCAACAGCATGTATGCAATTTAGAATGGGGAATTGAGGTTGAGTGGTGGGTACATCTGTGACCCCAGAAATTGAGAGGTTAAGGCAGGAGGATGATGGATTTAAAGCCAGCCTGCAGTATATGACTTGACACTGTCTGCAAAAGAAATAATAACAAACCCCTTCCACCCAACCAAAAAACCTGAGTAACTATAGCCATGAAAAGGGAAACTGCAGATAAGGGGTTGTTACCATACCAGAAAGAGAAAAGAGTTGATAGATTCTGTTGTCCACTTACCTTTGGTAACAGCCTTAAAAAAATATGATTCACATGCCAAAAGTTCACCCTTTATAGTGCAAGATTTAATGGCAATACTCTTCAGAGTTTTGGACCCATCACTGTCTCTAAAACATTTTCATTACCCCAGAAAGAAACTCAGTGCCCATTAGCAGTCATTTCTCATTCCCTGTCTAGGCTGTTGTTTCCCAAAAGTGTGTGCATGTATGTGTGAGTGTGAGCAAGGTGCAAGTGTGGCTTCCACTGCCCTGAGTTGGAGTTACAGGTGGTTGTGAGCTACCATGTGGGTGCTGGGAATCAACGTAGGACTTCTGGAAGAGCAGCCTGTGCTCTTAACTCCTGAACCATATCTCCAGTCCCATGATTTTTATTTAATGAACAGCATAGTGGATTTGTAACTATTAAAATAGTTAAAGTTCATATATATGCCACCAGAAATTGCATACCACACTTTCAGGAACATTGATTTACATAGTTCACTAGTGTAGATATTGAATATCTGAGCTTCAACGCAAATTTATATAACTATTAGTACCAAAAATAGAGCCCAGCTGGCCTTGCCCTCCTCATGTTGCACTGCTGTGCTGTTGTGAGCAGTTACAAGACTGTCACAGAACAGTGTCACTTAGGCATTGGTGGTGCATAGAACTGTAGCTCTACTGCTAGGATCCTGAGTCAGGAAGATTGCTGTGAGTTTCAAAAAAGTGAGTTCTAGGGACCTATAGAAATGTCTCAGTGGTTAAGAGCACTGACTGCTCTTCCAGAGGACCTGGATTCAGTTCCCAGCACACACATGGCAGCTCACAACTGACAAGACAAGATCTGACACTCTCACACAGACATACATGCAGGCAAAACACCAATACACCTAAAATAAAAATTAATAATAATAATAATAAAATGAGTTCTAGGCCAGCCTGTACTAAAAAGTGAGACCCTGTCTCCAAAGGAGAGACAGAGGAAGCAGTGTACTGGGTTATGAGAGTAAAAGGCCTGGTGAAAAGGGCTGGGTGGATAGCTGGAGAGATGTTGTGAACAGAAGATGGCAGGTGCCTGGCTCTCCTTCTCGGGGCCTTTTGCAGAAGAAGGTGGAAGGAGGGCCATTGAGGCTTTAGGCTCCAGCCCTACTTTAAAAGATCTTTGGAAGAGTCTTCCTGCTTAACTGTTGAGGTAGGGTGTACACACACACACACAGAAAGCAGGAAGATAAGGCAGGCATCCAAACCAGACGTCTTGGTAGACACTGAAGTATTTGTGGTTTCCTGTTCTGGGACTGCAGAGGATTTTTGAGTAGGGTTTGGGGGGGGGGGGATGTGATTAGAGTTCCTACTTGGCCTTCTGAGAAAATCTATAGATTGTGAGTGAAGAATCAGCACTGAGGAGAGAAGGTTCAGTAGCAATGTAGTGTAGAAATGACAGAAACTTAGCAAATAGTTATTAAGATTTTGCTTGATTGCATGGGGTGAATTCCAGTAGCCTCTCACAGATCCTCTGCTGACTGCACACAGTGCCTTTTGTTACTGTGTTTTATCAAGAAGATGTAAAAGAGGAGTGAAACCTTACAAGCAGGAGAACGTTGAGCAGCAAGAGCAAGTGAGAGGTTTAGTTGCTGTCTGCTTTCCTTGCAGGGCATGGTAGCAGTATCCGGCAGCTTGTCCGTGCTCCTGGATTCAATTATCTGTGCTCTTGGCCCTTTGGCATGCCTGACCACACAACTACCTGAATTGAACGGCTGTCCCAAACAGGTCTTGGTGAGTTTTTGTTATTGTTGTTGTTGTTTTTCTTAACTTTTTAGAGCTGGGGTCTTAGGGAGCCAGAAAGCCTCCTTAATGAGCATACCAAGCACTGCTCCTGAGGCTTGGTAGCACATGGCACTTCTATCACATATTGTCCCACAGAGCATGACACTCTATTATCAACTGTATGCTATGGTTTCAGTGAAACTAGAAAACGTGCCACCTCCACAACAGTATTTTGGAGAGAATCGGTGTAGTCTAGCCCTTGAGGGGCTGCAACTCAAAGGCAGTCGAGGGACTTCTTCCTGCTGCCGGGTCTAATGTGAGGCATGAGTGAAGAAGCTCCTGGCATAGCTGACAGCAGCATGCCTGTCTCTGGGACCACAGGGAGGCATGCCACAGCTGAGCCTTTCTCCTTGTTTGCAGTCAAACACGCTGGACAACATTGCATACATCATGCCTGGACTGTGACCTCCGAGAAGCCTGGGATAGAACCCTGTCTACCCCTTCACTAGTTCATGTATATATGACTGTTCCAGATCCTCTACTGATCTCGGGGTGTAGGTTTTAAATTTTTATATCTATATATACATATATATAATGTACAGTATATACATAGGATTATAACTACTTCGCTTTTAATAATTTTATGAAATGGCAAGGGTTTAGATAAAAAGGAAACTTTGGCATGAATGTGGGCTTGGAATTATTTTTTGTGTAAAAAAATCTGCCTTAAAAATCAGTGTGATTTGGGGACTAGGGGCTTATTCTGGGTACCATGTGTATCTCCTTATAGACAGCAAAAATGTGATTTTTTTTTCCAAGCTTGGTTGTACCTCCAGACCCATCACTGACCATTTGCCTTACCTGTCTTATAATTGGAAATATAGTAAAGATTATGGGAGGAGGCCAGATGACTACAAACTATTTGACTCAAAGAGACCTGGGGGGAGGTGGAGATGGCTTAGGTCGACTGATAGGGGACTCATTCCAATTCCTACTAAAGAGGATCTGTGTCTCCAGTTTTGTTGTAACCATTGGTACCACAGTCATTGACACTGCTGATAGCCTCAGTTATGTGATTCTTGGCAGCAGAGAAATACCTTGGAGAGGCCAGAGCTGTTGGTGCCGCCTGTTGAACCTGCACTGGCTGGCCAAGAAGGCTGGGTCTGTACAACCAAAGCTGTGTCTTCTGTTGGCAGCATTGGTTGACCAAATCCTGAGAGAGTCTGCAGCTTCTTGGTTCCGCTCTGGTTCCCCTGGTGGGCAAATTGTGCTCTGCATTCCACACACAATCACAAAGGAGTCCTCCGTTCACAGTGGGGTTATCTCTATGTGCGTGTGAGCGTATATTTTAATTATGTGTATTTAACTCTTCAGAATTTTTAGATTTTAATTTATCCTGTAAATTTCTGTATATATAATTTAATAACTAGCCTCCACCAGCAGTGGCATGTGGAGCTACAGACTTGTCATGTCTTCATGTCTGTCTAAAAGCTCCAAGTCATCCATATGTTAAGGTGTTATGATTCAGAAAGGAGCTTCATGGCCTTCAATAATGTTAGGAAAGTGAAATAGAAAGGAATGTCACAATTCCCAACTGCCCTTATTCCTAAAGAACCAGACCTACTTCCCTATTAGAAGACAGTCGAGCACTCCAGGGTTGTTTGGAAACTTGGTGTGAGATCCCCTTTCCATGCTTTCTTCCTCTAGCCTAGATGGAACAGGGCAGCATCACAGCAATCTTTGGGGACCATGTAGCCAGCTGCCACCCTGTTTAATTCCTTCCCATAGCCTCACTGTGCTTCACAGCTAAGCTTCTCACAGCTGTCCTGGACTCTCAGTCCCTTTTTCAGATCAGAGCAGTTTTGAGATTTAATCTGGGAAATGGAGAAGGAAACAGGAATATGTGGGAACTGAAATCAAGAAGAACAGAAATTAGCCGGGCAGTGGTGGTGCACGCCTTTAATCCCAGCACTTGGGAGGCAGAGGTAGGCAGATCTCTGTGAGTTCGAGACCAGCCTGGGCTACAGAGTGAGTTCTAGGAAAGGTGCAAAGCTACACAGAGAAACCCTGTCTCAAAAAAACAAAAAAAGAAGAGCAGAAATTTAAATTTGAGTGAACAGGTCAGAACCTCATTTGAACCTACAGAAGTTTCCTTTGAGAAACGGGGTATGAAGGAGAGGCCAAGAAGACACACCCAGTGCAGGAAGCAGCCAGTCCATCGCCATTGCTACAGACGTAGGGAACTCCTGAAGAGAGCCGACTTTTCGTGTTTGTTTTCCTCTGAAGCCTAGCCCTGTTGTGTTTGTATTAAAGATTTGTACACATTTGTATAATAATCTGTAACTTGTGTATTTGGTACTATTAGAGGAAAACTTTGGATTCAGGCCTTCTTGCTGTTTTTATATCATTGTTTTATTTTGTTTTTTTTTAAATAAATCCTAGTGGTTTGATCCAAATCCTATTACAGTTGTATAAAGAAACAAAATTTTGTACTTATATTAAAGATCTCATTTTTAATATTTGTAGTCCTGTCTTAGCTGTCTTTTCCCTAATTGGGTTAATCATAGTTGCTATAAAATTATAAAAACCTGTCATTCACTCTATTCTACCCTAATTTTTCTCTAAAAGGGGGTGGGGGCTGAAGAGATGGGTCAGTGGTTAAGTATACTTCCTGCTCTCGCCAAGGCCCCAAGTTAGATCACAGCTCCAGAGGATCAGCACCCTTTCTAGCCTCCTTAGGCACTAGCACACAAGTGCATATACCCACACAGGACACACGTACATATACATAATTAAACTAAAACATTTTAGACCAAATGCTGAAATAAAGGTCAAGTTTTCTTATTCCTACCTATCCTGGGTCCCAGGCTCCCAAATACCATTTGTGTATTGTAAAACTAGAGAATCTGTCATTGTGGCTGTAATGCCTGGCAAATGAAACCATGTACATTATTGTATTGGCCCAAATCAAGTATCCATTCATTTTTGTCAGGGTTACATGAAATAATGTGCTGAAAAATATACAGTTCATGTCCCATGAGCTTCCAGAGTCTTGTCTGTAAAAAAAAAAAAAAGGTGATGTCACCTCCCTGTCTCTGAGTCTACAACCAGCTGGCCTAAAGTGAATGTTTGGTAATATTATGAACATTGAATATATGGAAATTTGACCTTTCGTGGTTAAAAAAAAGTTAATAGAAATACAAGATGTTAAAAATTGTAAGTAGCAAAATAAAACTTATTAAAGGCTGAGTTTTATGGTGCACAACTATAATTCCAACACTCAGGAGATCCGAATTTGAGACCAGCCTAGGAAGATTATATCAAAAGTAGGTGCAGAGCACTGGCTTGGTGGAAAAGTTGTGGTCTGTCCTCTGTATTCACCATGACGCACACAGTAAAAAGAATTAAAAATTTAAAACATGTCTTATAAAGATTTATCAAGGAAGAAATACTGAATGCCTACTATTGAGTGATTTACGTGTCATCTTAATACTCTCAAAGCAGTATGGATATTGTCCCCCTTTACAACTGAGGGAAACAGATGCAGAAAAAGTACTTTTCCCATTTGCCAAGTAAGAACAGAGGCCGGTGAGGTGGCTTGCCACAGTCCTGGGCGTAGACTGAGTTCATTCTCTGTCTCAAGGGAGCACAAACCCAGGCCCTTGCCTCTTGGCTACACACAAGGTGGCTCTTGGAGCAGGGAGACATCAAAAGGAAATTTCGAGTCTGGCAGAGTCAAGGAGCCTGTCACTCAGGGCTACGTCCCCAGGATTGAAGGCTAAGACACTGATACCAGCCCCAGCTGTGTAATCAGACCCAGAGACCCAGTTTCCGGATGCGAAGACTTCCAGGCTCCACCACGGAGCAAGCGGAAGCCTTTCAGGGGCGTGGCTTAGGGGGCGGGGCCTCGTGGCTGTGCGCCAGAGCCCCCGCCCCGCGGCCCGACCAGCGGGTCACGTGACGGGTCGGCGGCGCCGGCGGTTGCTGTCACCTGATTCTGGGAGCTGGTGGCAGCGGCAGCGGTGGCAATGGACTTTCTCCTGGGAAACCCGTTCAGCTCTCCGGTGGGACAGCGCATCGGTGAGTCCCCGAAGCCGCGCGCAGCCCCTCCCCTGTGTGCCGCTCTGGCCTGGGCCCTGGGACCTGTCGGAGTCCCCAGTCTGGAGTGGGAGAGGTAGACGAGGCTGGCGCGGTGCTCCTGGCTCCGCCTCCCTGTGATTCACCCTGATTGACAAGATCAAGGGCCAACCAGAAGCCTCATATGGGGATTGATGCTGAGGATGACCAATAGGCAGGGGGGAGGGCGGGTCCAGGCGTATGTGGCTCAACCAATGCGTGCGTGTTGGGGTCCAGAGTAGAGGGAGAAAGTTTGGGTTAAAGGGACTGCTGTGATGAGCGGGCGTTGGGCCCCGCCGACGCCGGGCGCGCGCAAGCTGAGGGCCCCTCCCGGGTTGGCCGCGCTCAGGTCATTCGCCGCTTCTCCGGCCCCTCACGTTCCCGGACACCGGAGTGTCTGGGCTCGCTGGGGTTTGTGTGACGTCGCCCCGGTGGTGTTCCTCGCCCATAGTTAAGGGACGGTGGCCTGGCCTTCCTAGGCTTGCTTGATCATTAAATGCATTAATAAGCGCGAAGCACTGAGGCTGCTGCCTGACACATGACTAACGCTTGTTGTTGTCACTGCGATACCACCTAATGGGGCTGGAGCCCGTGGGAAGATGCCGGCTCCCAGAACCTATTCTCGGGCGGAGGGCAGGCGACATTTCCCCAGGAATGGGTGGTCTGGGTATGCCTCTCCCCCCCTCCCTTTCCCGAAGGGTCCCAACAGCATTGTGAAATTCTTTTTGATGGCTCTTCGCCTTGGGTTCAGACTGGGAAGCCTGGATCTTTTAGTTAAGGCATTTTTTGCATTCTTCCTGCCTTGGAAGCCAAGGCTTCCCCAAAGTCGTTAGCCCAGCTCTGTGTTGTAACCGCCACTGCGGCTATTAGTAGCTCTTTTGAGGTTCTCATCAGTTCTTTGCAAGGGACTGCTAGTGCCTGAAATCCAGGTGCTTCACAAAGCCCCATCCTGAATCCTTGTTTAGGACCTGGAAAGAGAAGGCAGCCCTCTTTACATACTTGCTATGTAAAAACAAGCAAATTAGTCTGGCCGTAAAACCCAGCCACAAAGTCCTGAGACTTTCTGGATAAGCTTATTTGGGCTCAGTGTGCTTACCAGCTGTTCAAAACTCAACATCTCTTCGTGCCCTGAAAGGTTGCCTTCCTTGGGCAAGAAATACTTCTGGACAGACAGAATGCTGCTACATCAGTGCACTGACTAAATCTCACTGCTGGACCCTCTCTGCCTTGGGATTCATGTCAGATTAGGCTAGATCCATCTGAGATTCAAGCTGGCAGCTGTGGGGTTCTCAGTAGTGCTCTTTGCAATGCAATTGGCTGGGAGACCACAAACTTAAACCTCCCACCAGAAGCAGTAGCTCACACCTTTAATCCTAGCACTTGGGAGACTAAGATTGCCACCAAGTCCCAGGCTAGCTGGACTACAAAATGAGTTTCAGGGCATCATGAGCTGCAGAGTAAGACCCTGTTTCAAAACAAAAATACCAGTCTGCACAGTCCTGTTACTGAGGGGGCAGGGGATTGAGTTCTACAAAGGGAAGGTGGTGAAGACTGAGTCTCTCCCAAGAAGCCAGTGAACTGATAGAACAACTGAAATGAGCCTTCCAGGGCTACTGAAGAGGCTGTAAAAGAGCCTGGTGTAGTGGAGCATGCCTATAATCCCAACACTCAGGAGGCTGAAGCAGGAATATTTTGAGTTCAAGTCCAGCCTGGACTACATAGAGAGCCTTACCTTGAACAACAACATCAGTGTTCCTAATGTACTCTTTTATGTGTAGAGACAGAAGTACTGGAGGGGTGTGTGTGTGTGTGTGCGCGTGCGCGCGCTCGCCTGCCTGCCTGCCTGCCTGTCTGCCTGTCTGTCTGTCTGAGACAGAGTCTCAGTGTTGCCCAGCTTGGCCTGGAACTTAGGGACTCAAGCAGTCCTCCCCATCAGCTTCCAAGTATCAAAGACCTTGCACCTGTACCAAAGGGCCTAGCTGGCTGTAATGATGGGTGGCCAGGTTTTAGCTGTTTGAATTCCTGAATCTAGGCCTCTCTTTGCTACAGCAGTTAAATGGTGTCTTCTCAGGTCTGACCTCATGCCCTGAGAGTAGAGTCTTGTATGGTTAGCATACTAGAGGACAGCAGTCACTAAATGGTGCTAGTCAGGGCCCAATGTCACTGGCCTCACAATTCACATGCAACTTGATGCTTGCTGGTTTCACTGTCTGGAGTGTCTGCTTCTGTGAGGAGCTGGGCTCATCCCCTCGAGCACTAGGCACCATCACCTCCTCCACTGAGGTCTTTCCTAACTCCTGCTCCAATCTCTGTTCTTTTATTCTCTTGTCACTCTGCTTCCTGTAGGCACAAAACTGCTCTCACCTCAAGGGAAATCACAGTTTATGAATCACAGCCAAATATGAATTGCTGTGACCCAGGAACACAGATTCACATCGCCCCAAATAACATGTTTCAATGTGGGAAATAGTTTCATGACATTTTTGTAGCTACAGAACAAAAGCAAGCCAGAAATCAGGCAATTGGGTTATAGCAAAGCATGAAAATCTATGCTGCATGTCTCAAGTGCCAGCTGATGACATTCCTAGCTCTTGGGTTGGTGGACGCTAGTTTTCTATTAACTTATTCCAAAAGGTGTTACCTGATAGTCACAGATTTGTTAGGTCAGACACAGAGATGAGATGAGCAATAAGTGATTACTAAAGGGTCTAAAGCAAGGTAATTTGTCTCAAGATCTGCAACATTTCCACTTTCCACAATCACAAAATTGTAGTCAGCCTTCTAACATCTTTAACACAGGTGTAGCCTTTTCTGGGAACTTCAGTTTGTAAACTTAAACTCTCTTGCTTGAGAGTAGTTGTAAGAAAGCTGGTTCCCAGAAAGTGCCTGCACAGTGAGAGGGTGTGGGGAACATCAGCTCCTGCTATCTCACCATCATTTACTGTTTCTACCTCCATCATACTGATACACCACCATCCCTGCTAGCCTTGATTTGAGACCAGGAGTTATCCCTTCCTTTCCTGGTGCCTCAGGTGAAAAAAGAAAAAAGAAGGACATGACTGCTCCTAGGTATGGTGGAGGAAAAGTTTATTGTAGATTAAAGGGAGAGCATAGCCAGTGAGGCGGGCCATGTCAGGGTGGTAGGGGAGAGAACACACGGACGGGGACACACACACACACCACACACACACACACACACACACACACACACACACACACACACACACACATATGTTGGAGCTGTCCTTGGATTCCCAAAGCCTACCCATGGGCCCATAGACAGGAATCAGAAATGAATGACCAGCATCGGGGCTCTGAGGTTCTTTTGGGGCAGATGAACTAGAAACCCACAGGCTAGGCCATGTTGTAGACATTGGGCTGGGTTAGGAGTGATGGTATTGGTCCCTGACTACTGCTGACTATTGCAGTTCTGTCTCACATCCCCATCTGTAATGAAACACAGGGGCATCCCAGTCCCTCGCCTTCCCATAGGACTGGTGAACAGCAGTTGAAAGGTAGCAGGAATGGGGAAGGGTTAGTACTATAAGGCACAAAGGGGCAGTGTGGTGTTACAAGAGGAAGTCAGTGCTAGGGTAAGCAGCCTACCCTGGACTTGTCAGAGATGGGCCAGTTACCTTGTTCATAATCAGCTCCTCTGCCCACTCTTGGTGAAAGGTAGAGGTCAAAGGAGATGGAGCCTCAGAGGACTCTTACAACTGCTGGCAGGGTGGACTAGACCAGGATTACTCTACAAAGGGCCACACAGTCAATCCTAAAGGCTTAGGAAGGCCATATGGTCTCCGTTAAATAATTCAACAAGGCTATTGTTGCATAAGAGCAGCCAGAGACAATAGGTAAATGAATGGGCGTGGTGATGCTCCAATAAAACTATATGGGCCATGGAATTTGAGTTCATGTCATTTCCATGTGCCATTAAGTATTATTCTTGGTGGGTGTGGTGTTGCATGCCTTAAATGCCGCACTCTGGAGGCAGAGGTAGGCAAATCTCTGTGAGTTCCAGGCCAGCCTGGTCGACCTAGTAAGACCCTATCTCAAAACAATGTCTACATAGGGCTTTGCCTTGGCTGAACAAATACTAGTAAGGCCCAAGGTGACCTTGAGTCAGAACACTCGCTCTGTGACCTGGAGTAGGTTATTAACCTCACTATCTTCTGGTTCTCCATCTGTAAAAGGAGGCTAATAATAGCACCTGTCAGGTGGGATTGCTGTGTACTGTGTGGCATTTGAAGCACTTGGACCGACGGCTGCCAGACAGGAGGAGTTCACAGCTGTGAGCCACGGGGATGGTCATTGGTGGTGACACTGTTCTAGGGCACACTTAGCGACAGAGCCAAGGTAACAATGCAGGCCCAGACTCCAGTGCAGCCTTTCTGTTGGTCTTTGTGTCCCTGGGATATGAGCAGTCACTGGCTGGGTGGCAGCACATTCACAGGCAGGTCAGGTTTCAGGTTGTAGGTGGAGCCGGTTCTCCTGGGGATAGGCTCAGCCTGACTGTGGACTGAGCTGCTGCTGAATAGGTTTTGTTCCCACATGGAGCACTGAGAAATAAGAGTAAAGTCCTGGATTTCTGCTCTCAGAGGGTGGTGTTTGGGCAGCTGAACTAAAGCCCTCAGTGTGGAACTCTCTTGGGGCTGCCACTCCATAAGGAGCCTGGGGATTCAGGACACTAACTCTTAACCCTTTGATGAAGGAGGTCCTGATCTAGGCCAATACTCTCACCTTGCCACATTCATCTGCCACCTTTTAACCTTTGTATCTTCATGCCTCCTTTATTCTTATTTTCATGGTGTTTTCCTTTAATTGGCTCACGCACTCATTTCTCCCCGTCCTTCACAATCGGGCCTACAGGGTCATGGCAGCAAGCACCTTTACCCACTGAACCATCTCACCAGCCTGGTGAAGGTAAATCTTAGATGAGGTTAATAATGAAATAGTAGAGCCTG